GTGCCTCTAGTTTCAGCCACTTGGGACACTGAGGTGGGAGGATTTCTTAAGCTTAGGAGTTCAAGACCAGCCTGAGCAACATAGAGAGACCCTGTCTTTTAAAAAGAAATGGAAAAATATATATAACATAAAACCTATCATTCAATTTTTAAGTGTACAATTTAGTAGCATTAAGCACATTAGCTATTTAGTGGTGGGTAACCCCACTATCTATCTCTAACACCTTTTTTAACCTTCCCAAATGGAACTCCATGCCCATTAAAGAATAACTCCCCAACTCACCCATCTCCTGGTAACTACCGTTCCATTTTCTGTTTTCATATATTTGTTCATTTGTGTTTAGCTTATTTCATTTGGCATAACTTTTTTTAGAGTCATTCATGTTGTAGCATGTGATAGAATTTTATTTATTTATTTATTTATTTTTTTCTTTAAGATGGAGTCTTGCTCTGTCACTCAGGCTGGAGTGCAGTAGTGCAATCTTGGCTCACTGCAACCTCCACCTCCCTGGTTCAAGCGATTCTCCTGCTTCAGCCTCCTGAATTTCATTTCTTTTTAAGGCTGAATAATATTCCCGTGTATGTCTAAACCACATTTTGTTTATCCATTTGTCCACTGGTTGACATTTGGGTTATTTCCATCCAATTTGGAATTCTCATCCCTCCCCACTGATAATCTGTTCTTCTCCTAGCCTTCTCCACAACTTCTCATATCTACGTACTCCCAAGAGGAAACTGCTTCTGCCCATTTGGTGCTGCCAGCACCTTTGAGCTGCTCCGTAGCCTTGTCTTCCTGCTTCTACCCCTCTGTATTCCATTCTCCTGATGGCACCTAGAGTGACTTGTGTTTATTAACCAAATCACGTCTCCCCTGTTTAAGGCTACCGATGGTTTACCATCACATTTAGAACAAAATCCTATAAGACCCTACATTATCCAGCCACTGCCTGCCTGTCTGGCTTCCCTCCTCTCCCTCACTCACATCCATTCTCTGTGCCCTTCATCCTGTCCCTAAGGTGGACTAAGTAGGTTCCCTCCTTGGGCTTCTGCATTAGCTATCCCCAGCCAGGGCTAAGGATCCTCCTCCTTCACAGTCTTCAAATCTTTCTTCTAAGTTAAAAAAAAAAGAAGAAGAAGAAAAGAGAAAAAAAAACTGGGCTTTTTTGAAATATAGGGTTCAATGTAAATTTCCTATCTATAGAAAAGACTTTCCCGTCCATGTAGCCTAAAGTAACCCTTGCTCTCTATCAGAGGATCTTGTTTTATTTTAAACATTTGTCAATACCTAATATTTTCTTGCTTACTTATGTATTTGTCTTTCTTCCGTGCCCTTCCTCTCCCCTGCCATTGCCAGCAGAACCACGAAAAGCCCCTAATGTACGGCTTGGCACTTAGTAGGTATCCAAGGTTGGTTTGTTTGGAGGACAGATCTGCTTCTGCCTTGCCAGCTACAATGTCCTGTGGCTAATTGCAAAGGTTAACATGGAGTCTCTCCACCAAGTATTTTAAGTAATAACCTTCCTGGGGACATTTGCAAATTAGCACTGACTCTTGCTGATTACTCATCCTAAACTCAGTCTGATTAATAATTAATCAGCAAACTGCTTGGCCAGAGTGGCCTGATCAGTGCTAGAAAGGATCTTAAATTATGCAAGTCACTTGGCCAGTCTTAAAAAAAAAAAAAAGAAAGAAAACTCAGCAGTCGACAGAACTGAAGAGGTTTGATTGCAGTGTGAGTGAGGTCTCTCTGTTGTTTGTTTTTCCTTTTTGTCTTTTTTTTTCTTTTGACTAAGAAATCAATTAGGCTCAAACTTGCAACCTCAGAGAGAGACTGTGTAGCACAGAAATAGAAATGTGTTAAATATCACTTTCTTTTTTTTTCTTTCCTTCAAAAGAGTTTTGGTCTGGGAGGCCGAGGTTAAAATTAGCCAATTTGCTAAGCAAATGGCTAATTGATGTCTGGCACTTGATGTCAATTTCTGCAGCCACATCAGTTTCAACTATCCATTCACTTCCTCTGAGCTGCAGTGCACTGGGTCTGGCAAAAGGAGGTAAGAGATTTGATGGGTACTGTCTGCCTGCCCACCCTGGAGTCAGAGTGAAATCAATTTGCCAGCAACCTGTCCCACCAGGAGTCCTTATAGTGCTCTTTGTCTCTTGCCTACAAACCCCAGGGAGACAGGAGGAAAGGCAATCAGAGGGTGATGAACAGGCTTCCCACTGTCAAGAGTGAACTTGGATATTTCCAGGGACCCCTCTTAGGCCTTGTCTGTAGCCACAGCCTCCAGAGCCAGTCTTGCACGTGGCTTCATCTTTCATCTCCAGATTCCTCTTCTGGTCACTGGAGACATGGCTGAGAGGGAGACTCAGAGAAAGATGATGGGTCTGTGGACACTGATCTTTGGGCCAGAAAAAAGGTGCAGGGATAAAGGGTTTAGTGCAGTCCATGTAACCTGGATCCTGATTAGAACCAGAAGAGTGACAAGGTGATGCCCCAGACCAAATAAATCAGCATGGCCAGGGAGGGACCCAGGCATCCATGATTTTCACAGCTCCCTGTGGATTCATGTGCACCAAAGTGAAGAAGTGCGATGCGATGGAGCATGAGAAGCTTTGGGGAAAGAGATTATGAAGGACATCAAAGAGTGAAGTAGAAAATGGGCTTTTCAGGAGTTGATTGTCTTTCTGGAAATAAAGGAACATCTCTCTACATTGTGACAGGCAGGGTGAGGGGAAAAGAGGTGGCCAGACAGGGTGGCTTCCAGGAGCCCTGCAGTTTCTGATCCATCTCATCTATGCCCCCCACTTTAAAAAATACCTTCTAGGACTACCCTGTATTTCCTTTTAAAAATGCCCTCTAGGACTTATCCTGTGTTTCTCAAACTGGGTTGTACTGACCAACTCCCTGCTTCAGCAGACTTGCTTGAATACTCTATAGAAGAATGCAGATTCCTGGGACCTACCTCAGACTAAATCAAAATTCCTGAGGATAGAACTCAATTAATTCAGTATTTTTAACCATTTTCCTTGGTGTTCTGAAATAAATTTAATTTTAAGAGCTACCCTAGGCCTAAGTAGAATACTTTCCATAGTGATGATAACATGGAGGAAGTGGATTTTGCCCATTATGAAATGATTTGTCTCTTTATGAATGGATTCATTATTGAATTTCTCCCAGTTATGTTTGACCTATAGGTTTGGTTATGGCTTATGCGTGAGTTTGAGTAAGCACATCTATTCCAGAAGATGAAGCACACTGGCTCCTGATAAACCTTATTAATTTATTTCACAAATAATTTTGCTTGCTTACTTTGTGCCAGTTTCTCTGATAAGCCCTGTGATTACAATGCTGAACTAGGAAGTCTCAACCTTTCAAGGAGCTGTTGAAGTTTAGCCTTGAAGTCTAGTCTCACCTCCTTGTCTACCTGATGTAAGCCCATGCAAGGGGTCTCCCTCCTGAAACTTTTAAATACATTGGTACCTCTGCCCTCCCTCAGCCCCACCCGCACTGGGCCTCCCAGGCTCCTACACCACTGCCACAAGCCAAACTTTTCTAGACTCCAGAATCCTCCTTCCAACATGAACCCTTTTAGAGCATGGACTTGGCCCATCATCTCTGAATTTTCAGGGCTCAGTAGAGTCCTGGCACAGACAACTGTAAAGATTTTCTGACAATTTGTTGAATAAATATAGCCTCTGAGATCTTAGAGTCTCAGCATCTTCCTCACAGCCAGCCGCATCTCACCAGCATCAAAAGGAAAAGCATATGGCACTTGGCTCACCTTGCCTGGTGTCAGAGCCCTTTGACAAAAGGACCAAAGTCAAGATAAACAAACAGGCAAATATCCATTGATTACCTCTATGATTAAATTGAGGCCATCACATGTATGGAATGCCACCATATTTCTTGTCCCATTGGGTCTTCACCTCCACATTTGAGTTAGGTATTAGCATACCCATCTTCCAGATAAAGAAACTGAGCCTCAGAGACTTAGCTTCCTCCTCACCTACACATGGTCCTCCCTGGCTGGGTTTTCCCATTTTGTTCCCTGTGTAGATCCTAGGCCAGCCACTCCTAGTATCGTTTCTCACTCTTACAGCAGGCTTTGATGCAATCTGTCCTCTTTGAGTCTCTATCTGCCTTTCTCCTGCCTTAACATTCCTTCCGCAGTATAATCACTTTAAGAGCTACAGTGTGTCAGGCACTGTACTAAGGGTTTTATGTGCATTGTCTCATTTTATGCTTACAAAACCTTTTTTTTTTTTTTTTTTTTTCCGAGACGCAGTTTTGCTCTTGTTGCCCGGGCTGTTGTCCAAAGGCATGATCTTAGCTCACTGCAACCTCTGCCTCCCGGGTTCAAGCACTTCTTCTCGCCTCAGCCTCTCGAGTAGCTGGGATTACAAGCACCTGCCACCATGCCCAGCTAATTTTTTGTATTTTTAGTACAAAGTTACACCACGTTGGCCAGGCTGGTCTCAAACTCCTAACCTCAGGTGATCCACCCACCTTGGCCTCCCAAAGTGTTGGGATTACAGACATGAGCCACTGCACCAAGCCACAAAACCCTTGTAAAAGAATAGTATCATTATAAAGAGATTAAGAAACCTGATGTAGTATAGCTAGTAAGTGTCTGAGCCAGAAATTGGACCCTCATCCTCTGGACTCTAAATCCTGAACTACCCCTCTTTCTCTTCTGCTCCTCTGGGCTCTAATTCATTTTCCTTCCTGACACCAAGGAAGGCAGCATGGAGCATAGATAGTATTTGGAGTCAATGTTCAGCTTAAATACCAATTCTGCTACCAACTAATCATGTGACCTTAGTTGACTTTCTGACCCTCTCAAGGCAGCCTTACACAGAGTTACAAGAAATAATTGGGCACAGAAGACTTTGAACAGGCCCAGATTCCCAGCTTGTAAATCCAGCTTGTGTCCTTCCTCTGACCTTGCATAGTTACAGCACCTAAGAGGACCTTCCTCCCTTCCTCACTGTCCCACTCACCCCACTCCCAGAGTCTCCCAGCATGTGTTCCATGCAGACAGCTACACACAGCTTCTTTCAGAGGTTCAAGGTCCTGTGGGTCTTGGCCTTTGCAGTTGATAAGTCATGGAGGCAGCTTCAGGCTGACCAAGGTGGAGACTACAGCAAGAGGTTGTCATGTCTCCTTGGGACAGGCAGCTCTGAGGTCCCAGAACCATTTGGCAGTACCCTGAAGGACACATGGGGAAAGTCAGGATTGAACAATAATGGCTTTTATTCTTCTCTTACAGCAAGTCACTTAGCTTTCTGAACTTCAGTTGCCCTAGTTTTATAAGGCAGGTGATGGGTCCTCACCAACCTGACTCTAACATGCTGGGAACATGCAGCTTGGTGCACAGAAACTTCCTAATTTTTCACATATAAATCTGACTCCATAGATTCCCTTCCAGTGGGATCTGCCTCCTAAGGTGGTTTTTCTGGAACTGAGAGGGTTTTAAGGAAGAAAATACAATTACTGTGTATAGGATGCCAATGACATCCCAGGAATCTATACTGATTGTTTCCTTTGTGCCTTTAAGCAGCTCTGAGAACCTGAGACTCAGGTCATTTGCCCAAGGTCATGGAGCTAGGAAGTTGCAGCCTGAAGTCAACCCTTTGCCTCCCAGCCTCTGCTCTTTCTATCCCTCTGGATTTTGGAGGTTGGTAAGAGACCTTGGGTATCCTGGAAAGATGGTCCTGGGCCTGTGCCATTGGCTTCAGATTCTTCCCCTGAGACTGCTTTTGTCCCTTGGGCTGTGGTTGGTTGAAGTTGTGGGCTAGCTTCACAGATAGCCAGGCTTATCAAGGCCTTGGCAGCTACATGCTGCCAGCTCCCTGGAAGCTGGCCTTGGTTAGCATGGGACAGATTGCCATCCCTTTTCAGGACAGCCCTGTCAATGCAGATAAATGGCCCGTGTCATTTAGCCACATCCACCGTGTCCTTCTCATTGCTGGTCTGTGGCCTGAATTGTCCAGATAACCCTTTTCATTTAGTGTTGTCTTTACGGATGCCACAGAGGTCCCCAGGCAATGACAGCCCAGCCTTTGCCCCAACCAGGAAGAGTCACAGGCAGGCCTGCTTCCTGACTTCTGTTTGCTGTCTCTTCGGCTCTCGCAATTATTGGAATCTGTCAAGCTCCATCAAGTGACATTTTTCACATGAGGGCAAGTGTCCTTTAAGCCTCACTCTGAGCTGAGAATGACATCCTGGATGCTGATGTGGCCTCCATCTTTCCACCAGCAGTTTTCTTCACCGTTGCCAAGTTTCCTTCAGCCCTGGCTCAACAGTGCCCTCCTAAGCTCCCCCCATCAAAATCCCCCCATCTCTCTTCTTATAATTACCCTCCCCCAAGCCCTTTCCCCAGCCCCACATCCCCCGGGTACCTTAGCAAGTAATTACCTTCACAGGGAAGTTGACAAGTCTCTGGCGACTCCTAGCCCCGGCTGGAAAAGATTCATTATTCTGTATCTGGAAATAACCAGCCCCATCAGCACAGGGGCTGAGATAACACCAGTGTAAAAGTTCTCTATTCAGAGGGATTAATTAGGATTCCTTATTAAAGATCCAATTAGGCAACAGGGCATTTTTATCTGTGATAGTCAGCTGCTCCTATTTTTCTAAAGCTATAACTCCAAGTTTTTTTTAAAAAAGGAAAAAGCAGGGGGCTGTATTTTTGCCTAAAACAATTCACTCTTTCATTGTCAGCTATGTCTTCATCAGGATGTGAAAATAGATTTTCTCATTCAATTTGCAATGCTTTATCTCTTTGGAGTTTGGTAATGACTCCATGATATCCCTTCAGCAAGAACCACAGCTCAGATGGGTTATTGGGGGAGTGGGATGTTTGGTTAGCATGACTGCAGGAGAAATCACAATAGCATTTTTTAGCAACTGGACTCCATGGCTGGCAGGAAATGCCATCTCTGCCATGTAATGTCTGTGTCATCTTAGGCAGGTTGCTTCACCTCTCTGAACCCCAATGTTCTCCTCTCTCGATCTGACTCCAAGGATCAGGGCACGGATTTAATTGGGGCAATATTACAAAGTGACTAGGAACCCAGGCTCTTGAGTGAGACCACCTTACACCCATACTCACAAGCCATGTTGACTTTTGAACCTTGGTTTCCTCATCTGCAAAATGGGAGGGAAATACCTCCTCCATGGGGTCTCAGGGAGGATTGAGGGAGATAACATTTTTGGAACCACCTTGCCCATGGAGGGTACTTGATACATTTTTATCAAACCTGAATCAACTCATTTTGTACTTACCTCAAAGAAGCTTGGCGAGGTTCCCTGGAGTGAGCTGTTCCTGCTCCCCGCCCCAGGTGAACTGAGCTCATTTTGTCCCTGGTAGTGCCTGGATGATTCCACAGTACAGGGAGACTGAGACTCCCTGCTCTGGGTTACCTGGCTGTGTCCTGGGTGGCTCCCTATGGAAGCAGTGCTGGCTGAAGGAGGGGTGACCTCTTGACCAATCGTTGTCCCACTTTACCCTCAGCTCGATACCCATTGCTGGCCACATGATGTGGACACATACAGTGTGAACCCACAGGTTCTTACCTGCATTGTTAAAGACAGCAGCAGCAGCTTGTTTACCCCAGGAAAGAGAAGCCCTGGAGAAATAAAATAATCTGGCTTCCAGAAAGTTCAATAGAAAGTGTGTTGTCCAATTGCCAGATTTCACAGATGAGGAAACAGTCCCAGTGTCACTCAGCAAACATGTGGCAGAGCCAGGGCAGAATCTGAGCTCTCCAGGTCTGATCCAGACATGTTTCCACCAACTTTGATGTTTCCGGGCCACCTAGCACTGATCCAGTGTTTGTAGATTTCACATGAGAGGGTTACAGCAGCACCTGGCTTTAGAAGGATCTGAATCCACATAAACTCTACTTCACACAGTGTTCCTCACCTGTCTGCCTGAACTGGATCCTCATTGCTTGTGTCGCAGTGCCTCAGTTTACCCCATAGAGGAGCCACTTCAGCTTCTCACCTTTCCACAATATTGTTTTAGCATGAATACCCTCTTTTACAGGCCCTGCCCCCTGTAACCCTGTCCCTGCCGTCACTGCCTCTCTGACCTTATCTCCTCCTATCCACCCTCTTCATTTCCGAAGCCACATTGGCTTCCTTGATGTTCCTTAGATGCCAGGCGTGCTCTTCCCACCTCAGGGCCTTTGCATGTGCTTTCCCCTCCACTTGGAATACTCTCCCCGAGATATCCACACATCTCACTCCCTCATCTATTTCAGGTGCCACCTCTAAGATCACATCCTCAGTGAGGTCTTCCCCCACCACCTATTTAAAATGGCAGGTACCTCCTCCTAGTCAGTAGAGGGTCTGCCCATGTCTGCTCCTTCTCAGCTGGATCCTCGTACCTCAAAGTGTGCCTAGCTCCTAGGGAGCCTGGAACTTGGGAGTTCAACCCCTCTTCTTGGTTCCAGTCCTGAAAGCTCTGTTGCTTGACAGCCCTCATTCTCCTTTGCCAGATTAAGAAACTGAGTCACAGGGAGGCGGCATGTGACTTTCCAAAGCCACCCAGGGAGTTACTGTCACAGGAGTGACTGCTGGAGTAATCTTAAAACAATGGTTAAAAAATAGTTGTACTTGTGGAGTTATTTATATCTCTTTACCTGGTTTGCACTGGATCTCAGTGTGACCTCACCAGGTGGTGTCCTCAGGCTTCACCAAGGCCTCCAGTATGTGTCCATGTGTAAGACCCATGTCACAGAAACAAATGATCCTACTGCAAAAAATGTGTTGCTGGAAGAGAACACAGTCTATGCTGAGAACCAAGAGATCCTCTCCCCCTCGCTACTCCCCTCTTTACCCTCCTACCCCGCTGCCAATTCCCCCATCAAATAATTCCTGATAATGAAGTTAGGATGATTCATTGGTTTTCTGATGAGCATGAATTCATCATCAAAATCTACATATTCAATCCCCTGATATGTGCACTCAGATTCCTAACCTGATTAATATGTAAAGTGCTTTATCCTATGACTTAACAAAAGGAAACCCAGCTTGGTTTTAGGGACTTGCATGGCTCCCGGACTCTGGGGTTCTGGGAAGCATGGGGAGATGCCACTGGCTCCATCTTGAGGGGGATGGCAGCATCTCATCAGGGACTGGGTCAAGGTGCCAGCAGGTACCACAGCTGAGAGGGCAGTTGGTTGCTCAGGACCAGGTCCTGGGATACCTGAGCACTGCAGCTTCAGACCCCTCATCCCAAAACTCAGCAAGACCTGACTGCAAAGTTGTTTAACATTCACAACCCCACAAACTTGTGAGGGCTTGGCACAGCCTACATTCCATGCCTAGGAACCTGGATGAGATGCAGCATCTCCCTTCTGAGCCTTTCTGGAGTCTGGCCAGTGTGGCCTGCCACCTCTCTGCCAAGGCTACCTACCCTGCACCAAGTCCCCTTGCCTCTCCAGAGGGTGGGCTTAAGCTCTGCATGAAAGCCTTGAGCCTCCTTTCCCCAGCCACCACCCTGGGGTGGCCCTGCTGCTGCTAACCTCTTGTCTTATCCATGATTCCCTCAGTGTAAGATCCAGCCTCCCAAACCTCTGTCTCTTCATCCACCATACATCCCCACTCCCTCTACTACCAGTTTTGGCCTACACTTCCTTATACTCAGACCATTTCCCAGTGCCCCCATGTAGGGCCAATCCTATGACTCACAAACCCACACACCCTGCAGGCACTCCCACCAGGCGCTCTGTGCCTGTAAGAAGAGAGGTTGTTTGCCTAGAGGGCTCTAGAGTCAGATGTGGATTCAAAGCTCTGCTCCAGGATTTGGGGAAGCTATTTAACCTCTCTGAGCCTCAGTTTCTTTAGCTTTAAAATAATACTATCAGGAATAATAATTTTTTTTTTTTTTGAGACGGAGTTTCGCTCTTGTTACCCAGGCTGGAGTACAATGGCGTGATCTCAGCTCACCGCAACCTCCGCCTCCTGGGTTCAGGCAATTCTCCTGAGTAGCTGGGATTACAGGCACGTGCCACTGTGCCCAGCTAATTTTTTGTATTTTTAGTAGAGACGGGGTTTCACCATGTTGACCTGGATGGTCTCAATCTCTTGACCTCATGATCCACCCGCCTCGGCCTCCCAAAGTGCTGGGATTACAGGCGTGAGCCACCACACCCGGCCCAGGAATAATAATTTATATTTCTTAGGGCTGCTGTAAATTTTTAATTAGCATTAAGCAGAGAATCTAACATACGGCATGTAGGTAACTCTCAATAATGTAGCTATTACTGATATTCATCCTCATGGCCACTGATGAGGTGGGCAAGAATTACTTCCATTTTCTGATATGGAAATGGGAGCTCAAAGATGTTGGGACTGGCTATGGTTGAGAGGAGCAAGGCTGTACCTCTTCTCCACAGAAGTGCCTGGAGCCTCTTGGGAGAAAGGATTTGGGACCTTGTGGAAGATGGGATATCTGAGAGGCGGGTTGCCCTGCAGGAGCTAGGGATGCAGTCCCTGGATGCCCCAACAAGACAGAGGTCCCAGAAGAGGGCTTCTTTTAGGCATATTATGTGTCTGATGCTGGAGTTCTTACCCTTCTGGAACCAAGGTATTTTCTAAGTTTGGGTTCCCCAAAAGCAGCCCTGAGACAAGAGTTCAAGCAAAAGTGATTTATTCGGAAGTACGGGTGACACTAGCATGTAAGAGGGACATAATAAAGGGAGGAGACAGTAGCTAATAAAGGGTAGTCATTCCAGCTACCACAATGGGGTCCTGGGCCGTAATCCCACAGGGAGACTCTGGGAAACCCAGGTCTGCAGAGCCCAGACCTTAGAATTATCCCACCCAAGGAACGAGAGAGCTGAGGTATTTATACACCAGTTCCTGAAAGTCACTGAATGAGATCTGCTCCTGAAGGTTTATTAATTCTCTAGCGCTTCTACCCTGCTGTGCACATGGGCAAAGTGGCCTAGCAATGGGAGAGAAAGCCTTCGAGTGCAGGGATGCAGACACTGGGAGCTTGCAGTCAACTGGCCCACTCTGAAAGATGAAGTATATTACAGGCAGGGCACTGGCAGCACCTGCTACAGGTGTGCACGTATGAAAGGGCAGCGTGGGGGTGAACTGACAGAGCTGTAACACTGGGGGCCTATGCAGCTCTGGAGTGAGACCCAGCTCATTAAATAGGACCCTTGGAAGGACCACCTTCCCTTCAGCCTTGGAGAGCCAGTGAAATTTGGGCAAATCCTCAGAAACCTGTAAAATAGGCAGTGGCCCTAGCAAGCAGGCACAGAAAACAAGAATCCATTATCCTCGTAGCCCTGGTAACAGTAATCTCCCTGCCCCCATCACCACTCTCAGACAATAGCTATAGACCTCACATCAGGATGTGTTTGACCTCCTGCCCTTCCAGCAGGCTGCAGCCAGTGAGCAAGAGGGTTGCCTTAGGGCCCAATATCACCCACCTCAGCATCCTGGGAAAAGGCAGGGCTGCTTGCTAACTTCGCAATTAGCCAGTGAGATTTGGAAAATCAAGGCTATGAAACTTACTTTGTATAGTCACAGAATGGTAAGTTCTGTGGATTTAGGTCACACACACACTCATACAAATCAATTATTCACTGGAATGCAAGAGAGTCTGCTGTCAACATTCAAATATTTTTGGAAAGTTTGTATGTTTCTGGCTGTGCTCTGAGTGAAGTCGTGCTTATTTCACAAGTGGTAGGCTGCAGGGTGAAGTCTCAAAGAGCTCATGCATAGCTGAGCAGGGACACCCACTTTGGGGCTTTATTTAGATGTGCTCCAGCATTCCCTCCATCACTCTCTTGAACTGCCAGAAGTTTCAGAACTCAGCCTGGGGAGGAAGAAAAGGGCTCAGAGTTCAGACACATTCTTTTCTAGAGGATGTGGGTGAAAGCTGCTTTGTGCTTCACTTCGCCATCCTTTACCCTCTCCTATCCGCTGCCTGGGAGGCCCGTGGGGAGGCCAGGATCTGGACTCAGATAAACTAAGTTCTCCCCAGCAATCTTAGGCAAGTAACAAATCTTTCAGTGCTCCCAGCTGCAAAATAGGTAGAATAGTGCCAAAAATGGTTCTTACGAGGTAAGTAGCACAGAGTAAGTGCTCAATAATAGCCACTCCCCCTCCTTTCTTATAAGGAATTTTAGCTCCCTCTCTGTTTTAATTTCTTTCCCTCCTCTGCCATTCAGATTGTACCAGGCAGAGCTGTGACCCAGTTGTTTCTACTGATGTGAGGATTGGATGGATGGAAAGCATGATGATCCATTCACAATCATAATCAAGCATCGTCAATTTATTATACACATACTATTATGCTAGGAAAATCCCATTAATTATTTTTGATAGGATAACATGAACCCTTTCACCAGACTTGTTTGCTCTTGAGCCTGTCTGCATTTGGTCATTCACCTCCTACAAATGCGCTTGAGTAGTGCTGAGGGCCCAGGGATACCCACCCCCACTTTCTTCTTCAAAATCACCCAACCAGACTCAGAGGGAAAGAGAAATTATTTTACTGAATTTGCTTACAGCAAAAAGTAAACAGAACTTCAAACAAAGAGTATTAGCAGTACAATTCACAATTGCAAAGATAGAAAACCAACCTAAGTGCACATCCACCAATAAGTGGGTAAAGAAAATGTCATATATGTACACCATAGAATACTACTCAGCCGTAAGAGGGAATAACACAGTGTCTTTTGCAGCAACTTGAATGGAGCTGGAGACCACTATTTTAAGAGAAGTAGCTCAGGAGTGGAAAACCAAATATCATATGTTCTCACTTATAAGTCGGACCTAAGCTTATAAGTGAGACCTAAGCTATGAGGATGCAAAGGCATGAGGGTGATATAATGAACTTTGGAGACTTGGAGGGGAAGGTTGAGAGGGGGATGAGGGATAAAAGACTACCCACTGGGGACAGTGTATACTGCTCAGGTGATGAGTATACTAAAATCTCAGAAATCACCACTTATGAACTTATCCATGTAACAAAAAACCACCTGTACACCCAAATCTGTGAAATGAAAAATAAATAAATAATTTTTTTTTTGAGATGGAGTTTTGCTTTTGTTTCCCAGGCTAGAGTGCAATGGCATGATCTTGGTTCACTACAACCTCCATCCCCCAGGTTCAAGCGATTCTCCTGCCTCAGCCTCCTGAGTAGCTGGGATTACAGGCATACACCACCATGCCTGGCTAATTTTTTTTTCTTTTGTATTTTCAGTAGAGACAGGGTTTCTCCATATTGGTCAGGCTGGTTTTGAACTCCTGACCACAGGTGATCCACCTGCCTTGGCCTCCCAAAGTGCTGGGATTACAGGCATGAGCCACCAGGCCTGGCTGAAATTTTTTAATTTTAAAATTATATATATAATTTTATATCTATTTAGGTCCCCACAAAAGCAGATGAGTATTATATTTTTTATTTCCAATTTAAACATAAAGCATGGTCATTAAAGACAATTTAGGAAATTTTAGAAAGTAGAGAAAAACTGAATAAAGAAATTCTATGCATGAACATTTGATTCATTTCCTTCTATTTTTTTAAAGGCATGGATTTGTTGTTGTTGTTGTTGTTTTAATTTAAAGAGCTGTGTTCACAGAGTATTGTGTGTGTGTGTGTCCACTTTTTATTAAGAGCAATTTATGCTCATTGTGAAAAGTTCACAACATACCTGAGAGTACAGAATAAAATGTTAAAGTCTTCTACATGTTAAATCCCTCCCTAAGTCCACTGTCTTTCCTAAGCATTATTAAGTTGGTATATT